GGCATTGACTTCTCCTCTCTAGCTATGGAAGTCCTAGATGCCATCTTCTTCCAACATACAGCTCTTTTGTCTACATTGAAAATGTGTTGTTTATTGCAGCCACCTTCATTAATGATCTCAGATCTCCTGGGTCACTTGCTGCAGCTTCTCTATCAGCACCTGCTGCTTCACCTTGCACTTTTAGGTTATGGAGACAGCTTCTTTCCCTAGACCTCATGAACCAACCTCTGCTGGCTTCCAGCTTTTCCTCTGCAGCTTCCTTCCTCTCTCAGCCCTCGTAGAATTGAAGAGAGTCTGGGCCTTACTCTGGACTAGGCTTTGGCTTAAGAGAACGTTGTGGTTGGTTTGATCTTCTATTCAGACCACTCAGACTTCCTCCATATTGGCAGTAAGGCTGTTTCATTTTCTTATTGTCCATATGTTCACTGGAGCAGCACGTCTAATTTCCTTCAAGAACTTCTTGGCATTCACAACTTGGCTGTTTGGTGCCGGAGGCCTAGCTTTTGGCCTGTGTCAACTTTTGACATACCTTCCTCACTAAGCTTAATCACTTCTAGGTTTTGATTTGAAGTAAGAGATATGTGGGGTGCCTGGGTGGCTCAGTCAGTTGAGCGTCCGACTTCGGCTCGGGTCATGATCTCACGGTTTGTGGGTTCGAGCCCCCCGTCGGTCTCTGTGCTGATAGCTTGGAGCCTGGAGCCTGCTTCAGATTCTGTGTCTCCCTCTCTGCCCCTCCCCCGCTTGTGCTCTGTCTCTCTCTGTCTCTCAAAAATGAATAAATGTAAAAACAAAAAGTTTTTAAGTGAGAGATATGTGACTCTTCCTTTCACATAAACACTTAGAGGGCACCGTAGGGCTATTAATTGGCCTGATTTCAATATCATTGTGTCAGGGAGGCCTGAGGAAAGGGAGAGAGATGGAAGAGTGGCCAGTCTGTGGAATAGCCAGAGAATACACACAACATTTATTAAGTTCACTGTCTTATATGCATGCAGTTCATGGCACTCCAAAACAATTACAATAGTAACACCAAAGATCACTGATCATAGATCACCATAAAAATATAGTAATGAAAATTTTGCAATATGAGAATTATTAAAATATGACACAGAGATACAAAGTGAGCAAATGTTGGAAAATTGGCTCCAATATCCTTGGTCTACATAGAATTGCCATAGACCTTCAATTTGTAAAAAACAGTTATCTGCAAAGTATAATAAGGTAAAGCATGGTAAAATGAAGTATACCTGTAATAAGTTGTAGGAGATTCTTGGATTGTGTTACCTTCCTCTGAAGAGTGTTGAGTTTCATTTTAATAGGCAATCAAATTATGGAGACCTCATCTTTTGGGGGGAATAGGAGTAGGGGTTACTTACCATGTTTAAATTTTGTTAAGACAGGTCTCTTTGGGTTTTTCCCTTAGTCCTCTGGCGTGACCCTTAGTCCTGAGATGATACCCTTTCTTCCAAAGCCAGCCTTTCTGGGTTTCCCATGGAAAGCCTGAAATGTTTCCCAAGTCCTTATAACTTATATAACTAGGCAGTTACCTCAGGGGAAAAATTGATGAAATATAGGATCTCACTTTGTTCTCTTTCCTTCCTTCAAAGATTGTAACCCCTCCCATTTTATGCCTACTTTTGATCACTCTTCAGTGCTTAAAAATTACTTGTATTTTTCCACAGTTTATAATAGTTATCTGTGGGATGGTTCATTTGATAAAAACTACTCAGCCATTATTGGAAATAAAACATAGGAATATATTTTTGGGCAGAGCTGATAGTTCAATCATTCCCAGGGACAGTGTTTGTGCTTTGGCAAGAATCTGTACAGCTGTTGGAGGATCTGCTGTGGCTCAGTAGCCTGGCTTGGTGGGGACAGAGTGGTCACTTAAGGAACCAGATATTTCTCTGCTGTGGAAGAACCATGAGAGTGGGACTAAAGGTGGGAGAGAGCTGAAGAGGTAGGAAGTTGGCTTCTTCCAGCCTTCATTTCCTCAGTACCACTGATGTGGTCAGGCTTTTGTGAGGGGTGATTGGAGATAAAGTATGTGGCTGTCCAATAGTGGGTGTTTATGATTGTGGAGGCCACTGAGTTGAGCTTTGCCAAGGCTTGATCCAAATGGCATAATTCTTGTCATGTCATCTGGTGACTTTTCAGTCCTTCATGGAAGCAGAAGTGCCTTGTTCCCACATGAGGTAAATTGGAGTTGTCATTGTTACACCATAATCAAGAATATCACCATCACATCCATGCTGCCTACCTTTGAGGGATATGTTTCCCCATGGTTCTTTGCTCTATTGGTTAGGCTATTGTTAGTGTTAAAAGAAACCTAAGATAACAGTAGCTTAAGCAAAGTAGAAGTTCTTTTCTCTCTCACACAGTAGTCTGGGTGTAAGCAGTCTAGGGCTATTGAGGTGGCTACTCTGGGTCAGGGACTCAGGCTTCCTCCATCTTGTTGGTCTGTCGTCACTACTCTGTCACCTTCATCTGGATGGGCCAATATGACTCAACACCACCCACCTTCGTTCCAAGCCACCAGAAGAGGAAGGAGGGCAGCTGTGGGCATGTCAGCCTCCCCCCCCCCCCCCCCCCCCCCCCCCCCCCCACCGCCCCCAGGAAGGACCCATCCCGGAAGATGCATCCATCACCTTCATATCCCATTGACCAGAATTTAGCTCCCCACCTGCAAAGGAAGCTGGGAAATACCATCTTTATTTGGGGGTAGCCATGAATCCGTCTACACATCTAGAGTTCTACTACTAGAAAGGGAGACTGTAGGAGAGCCTGGGTGGCTCAATCAGTTAAGCATCTGACTTTGGCTCAGGTCATGAGCTCACAGTTCATGAGTTTGAGCCCTGCATTGGGCTCTGTGCTGATAGCTTAGGGCCTGGAGCCTGCTTTGGATTCTGTCTCTCTCTGTCTCTCTCTGTCTCTCTGTCTCTCCCTCTCTCTCGGTTCCTCCCCCTCTCGCTCTCTCTCAAAAATAAACATTAAAAAGAAAAAAATAAGGGAGACTGCATATGGGAGGATAGCCACCAATCCAAGGTCATGTACCTGGGTTTTAGCTCAAGGGTCACTTTACAGAAGGAACCTGGCACTCCCTGGAGAGCCAGTGGAGCACTGATGAAGTGAGAGATTTCCATGTGGTTGGCACATTTCTCCTTAAGGGTATCAGAAGACAAGGACTATCACTCTAATGTAGATCATTTAGTGGATGTTGTGTGACTTAAGGAACATGGCTGGGTCCATAAGCCACTTGTCAATTCCAGACTTGTTCCCCAGTGACTACACCATGTAGGAAAGGTGTGCCAAGCTGAGGTAGAAAGAACCCAAGTGATACCAGTGTTTTAGTGCTGACCCTTCCAGCTTCACCCATGACTAGTAAAGTCACACCAGGCGTGCCCTGGTCTTTCATCTTCAAATTAAATTTGGGTTTGGATTGAATTGGGGTATGTCTAAGGTGTGTGGCTAGCACCCATGTTCTAGAATTGTAAGATTCCTCAACACTCCACAGCTTTGCATTAAAGCAACCTTCCATGGGGATGCAGCCACTTTAACTTCTCTGTAGAATTGAGTCGGAGGTCTGAATGTACGGGTACCTGGCATGCTTGCAGACCACCTGGGACCTGCAGACATGGGTTCTGTTTCCTTGGGCTTCCCTGGGTTGTGGTCTTTGTAATCAGAAGTCACTGCACAGCTTCCCATACAATTAAGCTTAATTTTTAATCTTTATTTTTGTTTCAAAATGCTCTATTTCTGCCTTTAGAACTATTACATGTTCATTGTAGAAAGTGTAGAAAATAAAGGAAAGTATAACAAAGGAAGCAAAAAAAAATTACCCGCAATGTTGTTACTCATACTGGAATTATTAAGGCTTTACTGTAGTCTCTTAATTTTAGTATCTAAGAAAATATGAAAAATACTTATGTCTCTATTTCAGTTCATCAAATTGGGATCATACTATTCTATATACATGATGTTTACAACCTGCTTTTTTTCACTTGACCGTTTCCTCAAATCCTTAAATATTTTCAAGAATCTGATTTTAAATGACTGCCAAGGATTCTAATCACATGGATGTACCACACTGTACTTAATCAGTGCCCTGGACATTCAGGCTGTGTCTGAGTCTTCATTATTGTTAACTACATAGCAGTGACAGCTCCATTTCACACGGACAACTTCTTAGCTCCTATCATAGATGCTATCATAGCTCCTATCGTAGATGCAGGTGAGCTCAGAGAGGTTGGATGGCCTGCCCAAGGCCACACAGCAAGTGAGTGATGGGTCCCTGCCATCTGGCCACAAGGCTGACTGCACCCTGCCCAACTGCCTCTCCCCAGTGCCAGGAAAGAGAGGGCATAGGTGTGGCATAGGTGTACTGGGGACGGTTGGCTCCTAATGTGTTGGTTTAGGTAGAAAAGAGTCAGCGTGGTTTCTCCAGGACATGCTGTTCGGGGTGGTTTGTGATGCCTCTGAGGAAAGCCAGCTGACCACACAGCAGCAAGTCGCCCTGCGCCCACTCCACTCCTGCCTGCTGGGGGCAGTGATGAACCCAAGCCTGGGTGCCTGAGTTCCAGGAGCCTCAAGGGGAGGCTGTGAGAGTGGGAGGCAGGTGAGGCCAAGCGGGCTTTGGCAGGGAGACCACTCAGCTCTTACTCCTCGAGGCCCCCACCCAAGGAGGGCAGGAGATACGCCTGCCAGTGGCCTTGATCCTGGGGAAGCCTTCTCACCTGGCTCTGTCGTCCCCTGCGCAAACACTTTTGTCACTTCCTGAAGACCCGTCCTCATTCTTACTTGGCACCAACCCGCTTCCTCTGAGAGGGACCACTGGGCTCACTGTCGAGTGCGGGGGTGGGGGCAGAGACAGCAGAGCAGGACCCGCCTTAGGCTTGGCATGGGTATCCCCTCTTTTGCTGGCTGTCACCGCCTGGATCACTGGGCTTTTGCCCTTACCTGACACCTTTGAATTTTAACCTTTCTTTGCTTTTCTCTAACAGGCAACCATTGGGATTGACTTCTTGTCAAAAACTATGTACTTGGAGGATCGTACGGTGAGTGCCAGACTTTAGAACTAGAAGGCTAGGGAGGGCCTGCCTCGGAGCCCGTCACCGGGCACCACTGAGAGAGCCCACGCCTGCCCCAGAGTTGGCAGTGCCGGTGTCACAGAACCAGGGCCTCCCCCAGCCCCCACCCCACCGTGAAGACGGCACTGAACCCCTTGTCCACGGTCCCACCCCTTGTGACAGGTGCGGCTGCAGCTCTGGGACACGGCCGGCCAGGAGAGGTTCCGCAGCCTGATCCCCAGCTACATCCGAGACTCCACGGTGGCCGTGGTGGTGTATGACATCACAAGTGAGTGTGGGTCCTGGAGGCAGAGGGAGGGTGGCTCACAGGGGCTCCAGGGCCTGTGTGTGTGTGTGTGTGTGTGTGTGTGTGTGTG